GTGGGTGCGTGAGTGATGGATATCTAGGGAGCTTTGAGCTTGCAGAAGCCACCTCAGACACAAGATTGGCTTTTATCTGCTGGCCCAGCACAAAGAGCGGGTTTTAATTTGAAGCCTCCTAATGCCATAATAATTACTGCCGGCTGCAGGGGGTGATGTGTGTGTGCGCGTGCTCACGTTTGATGCCGCTGCGGTTGGGGAGGTTTTGCTGAGAAGAAAATTTAAGCAAGGAAATGAGCGGGGGGAAATAGACAAAGAAGTGAAGTGCGTTGTTTCAGCAAGGCTCCTTAAACTCAGTTGACAAGCTGTCTGAACAATTCTTTACGGCACCTTCTGACATCCCGCCTTGATCAAACGCTCACAGTCGCTGAGGTGCTGCACCGACACCACCTAAGGATGGCCAACCAGGTTTTGAAAGCGCAAATAATATTGTTTAAATGTCATCAGGGTGGGTATTGCTTTGGTGTCAGTGCTGGTGGTTACAGTAACAAGGTCATGTGGCTCCAATATGAGGCTGGACGGGAACCATTTTAAATGCTAATCACTGAGACTTCCATTATAAGGCAAATTATATGAAAGCGCTAGCAGAGGCATGGCGTACCTCTGGGAGAGCTAGGCAACAAATTGAAATGAACGGGCAGAGTTCCAGCAGCTGTCAATTGGCAGTTAAACGCTACAGATCAATTGAAATTTATGCCCGGAAAGAGGATAAAGTTGTTAAAAGAGTTTTTCCTGTTGACATGCTGCAGAGCTTATGGAAGTGCTGTGATTTTTCAATCCGCTGAGCTTAAGAAGTCACACAGATCATGTGGTGTGATTGACAGAAACTACAAGCTGATGGACAGACCTGTCAAGACCTGCCATTAGGACGTGTTTTCCATGACCTGGTAACACTTAATGCAGGTGCAAATTGTGAAATTCAAATGTTTTGAGCTCATCCAGCTTCAACCATTTTCAAAATGCATTTGACTGAATTGACTGAGTTACATGAGTTACTGAGTTTACTGAGTTTGCATGTTCTCCCTGCATTCGCGTAGGTTTCCTCCAGGTGCTCCGGTTTCCCCCACAGTCCAAAGACATGCGGTACAGTGAATTAGGTAGGCTATATTTGTCTGTAGTGTATAAGTGTGAGGATGTTTCCCAGAGATAGGTTGCGGCCAGAAGGGCATTCGCTGCGTAAAACGTGATAAGTTGGCGATTCATTCCGCTGTGGCGACCCCAAATTAATAAAGGGACTAAGTTGAAAAGAATATGAATAAATGAATGAATGAATGAATGAATGAATGAATGAATGAATGAATGAATCATTGACTGAGTTACTCTTGCGTTACTTTTTCTGAGTTGGCTGAGGCTTGATTTATTCGTTTGATAAGTTGCAGGATATTTTTTCTTTTATTTTTGTTAAATAAAGGAACTCTGCAATTAACAATGCACTGTATAGCCTACACCTTCATTTACCTTAAAACACACACACACACACACACACACATCAATGTAATGTAGGATAATCTTATCTTTTGAGAACTTCCTGACCCCAGAGCTATACATGCCATTTATACAGATTAATGAAAGAATAAAGCAATGTGTTTGCTATTTTGTACTTTTTGTCTTAGTAGTGAAGTGAAATCACATACCATTGAGGCTATGATTCCCTTTTCCCTTTCTTTTATCCATTCAGAATAATGAGAATACTTCCATCACAGAAATGTAAGACTCTGCAATGTTTCTGTCTGTTCTTGCATTCTCTCATTGAGTGTGGGATTCAACGTGACTACGTTAATTTCAATTCAGCTATTTATTTTTATTAAGCGAATTAATTAAACTAAAAAGTAACTCAGACTACATTTATTAAAAAGTAACTAAGATGTTATTACTTCTTTGTAAAAGTAATGTGTTACATTTCTTTGTTACTTAGAAAAGTAATAATATTACGCAACTCGCGTTACTTGCAATACATTACCCCCAACACTGCTTGCAGCTAAACTAAAACATACATATCAACTTAATAAAACTGCTAATTCACTCTCTTCCAGCAGGTTGCGCCTGTACAACAGCGTGAATATATAACGATGTTGTCTTGGTTACTGCAGTAAACGAAACAGGGTGACTTCAAATCTAACAGGATTTTATCAACTTCAAAAACTCACATTCCAATTTTCACAGATAAAATAAAGGTAAACTTTATCATACACGGTAAAAAATACAAGATTTCACACAATTCATACATGTTGTCCCAACACAAATTAATTAGGTTAATTTAATTACCACTTTTAACAAATTTATGTGAATTGAACATAAAAAAATAAGTTGTCTCAATCAAATCTCAAGAATTGTGTTGATTCAGCTTATTTTAAATAAGTAGTTTAAACAAGCAAATATATATATATATATATATATATATATATATATATATATATATATATATATATATATATATATATATATATATATATATATATATATTTAAGTGTACAACTACAAAATTATACAGAACTTAAAACCTAAATAGCATTTAATACTTTTTAAGAGCCTCAAATTTTTCTAAATTATTTTATCAACTTTTAATACTTTTTAAGACCCCATGGATACCTTGTGCTAATTGATGTGATGTCAAAACATTGAAATTGTACATCCATATATTGATACCCTTTTTGAAACTACATCAAACTGACATCCGACATTGGCGTCAAAAAACACATAGCTATCTAGACAGTCCTGTAATCAATTTTTGATCTTTTTTAGATAATGTTGTCAATTTCAATTTAATGTTCATTCATTCATTTTCACTGCCACAGAGGAATGAACCACCAACTTATCCAGCATACGTTTTATGCATATGTTAATATTTCCAACGTCAAATTAATTTAATTTTGAAATCACGGTAGTCAATTAAGAATTTATACATGTTTTTGATGACATTTTACATCAAGGTGCCTGCTGAAATGGAACTTTTTTTTTTCTCTGCCTCATAATTTTATGTCGTCATTTTTCACATGTTGTGTCCTGCATTTCTGAGAAAAAAAAAAGTTGCTAATTTTTTATTCAATGGCTAAAATGTCTATAGCCCAAACAACCTGCCCTCAGAATGTAGTAAAACCTGGACAAAAGACACAGACTTAAACATTGGATGTAAACAGGAATCTGTCTCTCTCATCTTCCTGTGATCAGATCAATCAAAATGCACCTTATAATCTGGTGTAAATAAGGTCAGCAGAGAGTAACTGTGGATCCTATGATCAATCCAATTAAAGGACATGTGAAAGTAAGTAAATTCTTAATGACGTTCTAGTTAAAGAGAGAGGAAAAACAGCTACAGAAGAGAAAATCTCGGAGGACCTGCTTTCAGCGGCAACAGAGGCTTCACTGATCAGTGTATCAAACTTCAACGCAGCACCCTGGAGCCTCGAGTGAGTTCATCACAAGAAACACTTCATCTGTCTGTTGCACCAAACGTATTTTCAGACTCTGGACATGAGAAGAGCCTCAAACAACAGACAAAAACAGGGCGCAGAGGGATAAGATAGGTAGGCAAAAAAAGACTGCAGATAGCCGCAGTATTGAAAGAAGGTGAGAACACTGGAAGAGCCAGAAATACAGAAGGGGAGGGGAGTAAGAGAGCCTTAAGAGCAGATAGTGAGATAAAACGCAAGCACCTCTGGGATGGAGAAGAATGTGTGCCTGGAGGATGTTTTTTTTTTTTTCCCTGAATAAGCTTCTTTTAAAAAAAAATGAGCGTTTGCACTCATAGAGCCATATTAAAGTGGAAGTCACGCCATGCAAAACTCAAATTATCAGTCATGTATGGAAATTGGTGTCTAAATGAAACTTATCCACAGGTCAACAGTGCAGTACTTTGCATTTGAGCTCCATTTAAAAGTGCTAATACATCAACACATACGTGAGAGAGAAGTGTTAAAGACGGTCAGACAGAAGATGGGTGGAGCTAGAGGAGGGGCCATGATCCCCCTGTGCTGAAAAACTATTGGTCATAGGAAGGCAAACACTTCAAAGCAGAACAAAACTAAGCTACCAGCTGAACCGCAGGGTGCAGATAGCTACAGCCCGCTGCTTTATAAGAGACCGGGTTCAGATCCTGACAGAATATTAACAGAAACCCTCATGATTAAAACACACTGGCTTGAAAAAAAAAAAAAAAAACATTTAGTCTAATATGAAAAAACTGAGTTCATTATAGAAGTTGATGAAGACCTTAATTTTACAATGTATTTATCACTATGAAAAATTACTTTTTGCAAATAGCCACGTTACCAGGCTATTTGTATTGTACATAATACAAGATCACGGTGCCCGTTTCTATATAATAGTTTTACATCTGCTCATGCTATTTTTATTAGTCTGTTTGTATTCATTTAAATAACTTTCAAGAAAATTGCTTTTCGTAATTAGCTCACATTTCAACATTCAACAGTTTTTTTTTTTTTTTTTTTTTTGAATAGCAGTAAATAAGAGATCACAAATAAACTGTACCTAAGAATCATTCTGACGTGATATAAATGTAAGTCTGGCAGCAGCCGCACACTTGAACTCAGATGAAAGCAGGCGCGTCTCCGGCGACAGTGCGCGCGCGGAGCGGCTCTGTGATACTGCCGCTCTCTGAAGTGCGGCGGAGCAGGAGCGTCCCCCCCTCCTCAAAAACCAAGACCAGTTCGAGTTCTTGACCCCTGAACCATTCCTTTACTAATACATGAGCCACAGACCCTCAAAGACGCCAACAGCCACAGAAGAACATGTTTTAATATGTCCAACGCCTCATTTCGACTCAACTTGCGCTCTGTTATCCTCCAAACGAGCTTCGCAGTAACAGGTTGCTCAAAAAAACAGCAGAAAAGTAACATTTTCTTCATTCACTCCGCGTTCAAAACATCTGGCTACGTTTATTCCCATAAATTACGCAGTGAAGCTACAGAACAACAACTTATGCTTACATTTATTAATTTTTAAAATGGCAATTTTGAAGCATTACTATTATTAGTTCTTACCTTGCAGCACTACAGCAAGCAAGGTGCAGCAAATCCAGAACGGTCCCGATATCGCTCTCTTCATAGTTGCGTCGTAACTTGGCGGCTTTGTGTCGCGTTGTGTCGTTATATTTCTTCAGTCTCGTCTCCGTACAGCTCCTTCACCCTCTGCTCTTACACTCACACACACAGCAGTGCAGTTGATCCCGTCCTTCTTGGCGTACGAAATCTGATGCGGATGGCAGTCTCTTGGCTGATATATTTGCACAAAAGGTGACCGTGTGCGCCCCTCCCCTTACTCTGCTCTCCTCTCCCTTCCCAAACGAGTAAAGTGCTGCTGAAGTGAACTGCCAACCGCCGAATTTTACACGGTATCACGATTATTGAAGGGATGTTTGAACAAGGATTCGAAAGCACTAAATGTATCTAATGTTTTGGTATAAGTTTCGTGAGTGGACCTCAGTGCCTTCCCGACAGTTTATAACGCATAATTAAATGGATTCAAATATGACCAGGTAAAAAAAACTCGTTGATTTTGCCTAAAATAGTAGATGAAAAATATATGATTGAGCTTTTATGGTCATGTAGAAAGTTCTGTTTTAGTGTAATAGATGGACTTGAGTCGTATACTATCAAATACCGGAATACATCCAAAATTTGTTTCAGTTAGAGACCAAACAATATAAGTGCTGTAAATAGAAAACGGTTGCAGGTAATTGGGCCATGTTTTGATTTGTAGCCTCAAAATACTTTAGTAAACCATAGCAGAACACATACGGTAACAGGTGTTCTTGATTCAACATTTTAAAATGTGGGGATGTTTTAACCCAAATGTGTGTAAAATATAGAACAAATCAATGCTTGGGTTAAATTTTGTATTCAAATTTTAGCCCAATCATTGGATTGGTCCATATTTTACTGTAAACACTGAATTGGCTCCGGGTTCCCCCACAGTCGAAAGACATGCGCTATACGTGAATTGAAAAAAAATTTCCTGTAGTATATGTGTTGGAATGAGTGAGTATGGAGGTGCCCCAGTGCTGGGTTGCAGATGGAAGGGCATCCACTGTGTAAAACCTATGCTGGAAAAGTTGGCTGTTCATTCCTCTGTGGCGTCCCCTAATGAATAAAGGGACCAAGCTGAAGGAAAATGAATGAATGAATTATTTTAACACAATGTTGGGATTGGGTTAAAAGACTAAATTAAAATTTATTTAAAAAAAAAAACTCATCTTGATGTTGGGGTTGTCCATGTTTGACCCAGCATTGGTTAAAACAACCCAACATTTTTCAGTATAAGTATATTCATTTTTAAGAATATAAAGGAATTAAATTTGACCAGGTAAAAAAAAAAAAAAAATCATTGTTGGTTTTTCCTAAAATAGTCAATGAAAATATATATGATAGAGCTTTTAGATGTTCAAATGAAAAATGACTTTTTGTGTAATAGATGGACTTGTGTCGTATAGGTTATTAAATATCCTACATCCAAAATTAGTTTTAGTTAGAGACCAAACAAATTAAGTTGTTGGTAAAAGGTTGTTGGCCATGTTTTGATTTGTAGCCCCATAATACTTTAGTTAACCATAGTAAAACACATAGTAGGTGTTCTTGGTTCAACAATCTAAAATGTAGAGATGTTTTAACCCAAATGTGTGTAAAAAATCGATGCTTGGGTTAAGTTTTGTATCTAAATTGTAGCCCAATTGGTTTAGTCCATGTTTTACTGTGTACATTCTGAATTGGCTTCAGTTTCCCTCACATTCCAAAGACATGCACTATAGGTGAATTGAATAAACTAAATTGGCCATAGTGTATGTGTTTGAATTAGTGTATGGATGTTTCCAAGTATTGGGTTGCAGCTGGAAGGGCATCCGCTGTGTAAAACAAATGCTGGATAAGTTGGCGGTTCATTCCGCTGATGAATAAAGTTACTAAGCTGAAGGAAAATGAATGATTGAATGAAATACACTCTGAAATGAATTGAATTAAAAAATCTGAATTGCTTTAACCCAATGTTGGATCAAATACAACCAATGGGTTAGACGTGTCATTTAAAGTTAATAATAATATAAAAAAGTCATTCTAATGTTGGGGTTATCCATGTTTGAGTCAGTGTTGGTTAAAACAACCAACATTTTTAGTTTACCAAAATGTGTTGGCACATTTTTTTTTTAAGTGAAACAAGCCCAAACGCAACATAACACAAGACACAGATCTTGAGATATTATTTATATGTTGCTTTGCCATTCTGTGGTGATAACGATGACCTAGGGATTCCAACAACATTTCAAAATAGCTGGAAGGATGGGTGAGTAGAGTTGTAGAGAGTTAAAAACCTTTACAGCAGCGTGCTTTTTTCTACGGGCATGACAGTAGAAGTGTGCCAATGAGAGTTCATTATTCATAAATATTGTAAAAGTTTAAAAAACAGAGTTTGTAGGATGCGCTAGTAATTCAATTTCTTCCAACATCCTAGAGATTGTGCGTTTGTTTGTCCCTTTGGTAATAATAGCCTCTCAGTTCACACGATTCAAACAGGCATTCCAGGGATAGCTGGAAGAAAACAGCTGCATCACTTTTCTCAGTGCGGGAGTGGTGTGCAGAAAGAGAACAAGAGTGAGTGAGCTATCGAACCTGATAAGAGGAGAGAAGCTTGGGATATGGAGTAGGGCAAAGTGATGAAAGAAGAAGAGAGAGAAGACAGGAGGGTGAAGCTTTTTGTGTTGGAGGGAGAGGATACTGATATATTCAGCTGTGTCATTACTGTTACTTTGTGCTATTCTTGGGTCATGACAGCGTAGCAACGTATTAAACTGCTCATCTCATAACGCCTGAAGTGGCTCTTTGCACTTCAAAGTTCAAAGACACCGGCTATGAATATTTACCCTAATGCCTAAAACCCAGCGCAATGCGGGGATTTTAGGAAATAATCTTAGGATCCTCTTGGAAAAATGGGTCAAATATTATCAGTTAAAGTCTGTTTTCCAGAAACAGCATCTGATAAGGGCTTGCTTAGGGAAAATTCATCCCAAAAAATGCCAACAACAACAACGTCAAAGATGAGGCAGAGATATGAACAGCATGACTGTTAAAGGGACAGTTCACCCAGAAAAGACAGTTCTGTAATCAACTCTCCCTTATTTTATGTCAAACATCTATCACAAATTAAAAATTAAGCTTTTTATGAAGCTCAACACTGATAATATCAGTGTCATGTGGTGGATGTTGAAACCAAGCAAATACTCACTTCCTCTACTCTAACCATCCTAATACATTTTAGTCTCTCTTTTACAGTCCATATTAATGTACTATATGCATTTGTGATGTTTTTAAACATTTACATTTATAGTAGTTGTTTTTGATAACTTCTTTTCAGATGATGTTCATCAAATTCCTAAATTATGCAGTTGTCTCGCCCTTATTTATTGTCGTTCTCTCACTCTTTTTTATGCATATGTACAGTCCATCCCGAAAGTATTCATAGCGCTTCACTTTTTCCATATTTTTTATGCTACAGCCTTATTCCAAAATGAATTAAATTCATTTATTTCCTCAAACTTCTCCACACAATACCCTATAAAGACAATTTTTTAATTGTTGCAAATTTATTAAAAATAAAAAACCTGAAAATCCCATGTACATAAGTATTCACAGCCTATGCTGTGAAGCTCTAAATTGATCTCAGGAACATTCTGTTTCCACTGATTATTCTTGAGATGTTTCAGCAGCTTAATTGGAGTTCACCTTGATTGGAGTAAATTCAGTTGATTGGACATGATTTAAAAAGGCTTACACCTGTCTATATAAGGTCCCATGGTTGACAGTGCATGTCAAAGCACAAACCAAGCATAAAGACAAGGGAATTGTCTGTAGACCTCCAAGACAGAATTGAAGGGCCTTAGTTAGGAAGGTGATCAATAACCCGATGGTTACTCTGTTTGAGCTCCAGAGTGCTTCTGTGAAGAGAGGAGAACCTTACAGAAGGACAACCATCTGTGCAATCCACCAATCAGGTCTGTATGGTAGAGTGGCCAGGCTGAAGCCACTTCCCACCTGGAATTTGCCAACTAAAAAGGCATCCGAAGGACTCTCAGACCATATGAAACTAAATTCTCTGATCTGATATGACTAAAATTGAACTCTTAAGAGTGAATGCCAGGCGTTATGTTTGGAGAAAACCAGGCACTGCTCATCACCAGGCTAATACCAACAGTGAAGCATGGTGGTGGTAGCATCATGCGGTGGGAATGTTTTTCAGCAGCAGGAACTGGAAGACTAGGAGAAGGGGAAGAGGAACAGATTAATGCAGCAATGTACAGAGACATCCAAAAGGAAATACTGCTTCAGAGTACTCTTGACCTCAGACTGGGGCCGTGGTTCATCTTCCAGCAGGACAATGACCTAAAGCACACCGCCAAAATATCCATGGAGGGACTTCACAACAAATTGGTAAATATCCTTGAGTTGCTCAGACAGAGCCCAGACCTAAATCTTATTGAACATTTCTGGAGAGATCTGAAAACGGCTGTACACCGTTGCTTCCCATCCAAGCTGATAGAGCTTGAGAGGTACTGCAAAGAGGAATGGGCAAAAATTCCCAAAGACAAATGTGCCAAGCTAGTGGCATCATATTCAAAAAGACTTGTGGCTGTAATTGCTGCCAAAGGAGAATCAACAAAGTATTGAGCAAATGCCATCAATAGTTATGTACATGTGATTTTTCAGGGTTTTTTATTTTTAATAAATTTGCAACAATTTCAAAAAATCATTATAGAGTATTGCGTGTTGAATTTTGAGTCATTAAATGTATTTTAGAATAAGGCTGTAACAAAAAAATGTGGAAAAACTTAAGCGTTATGAACACTTTTTCAGATGCAGTGCGCATGTAAAATCTTTAGTATGGAACAGAGCTGCAACACATCCTCTCTCAGGCAGGACAGAACATACTTATAACTGAAACCCACTCTGTGACCTTTACCCGGTCCAGACTTTGCTCTTTGAAAACATCAGAGTCTTATTTGACCCAAAATGTTGTAGCGATCTACAGTGTGTGTGATTTTCCCCAAAAGCATAATTTTCTTCTGGAACACTGCCATCAGAAGTACACTGAGATGTCGGGGATGTTGAAGGGATGTAATGATAAAATGATGAAAAGGGAGAGAAGAGGTTGGAGGACCTCTTTGATTCTTATGTCAGGGTGTGACTAGCCCGAGGCCTCAGGGAACAACAGGGATACAGAACAGAGGAGCGCAGAAGAGAGAAACAGAATGATAAATTGGGG